CCAGTGTGTGCATGCACAGAGTTTCCAGACGAAGGGAACGGCTAAAGAAGAGGGGTCGACTTGGGAGTAAGGCCACAGGTAGAAGGTGATTGGCCCCTCCCATAGGAAATAAAAGAGGAGCGAAAGGGGAGTGGAGTTTGCAGGAGTTCGCTTAATTGGTTCGTGACTCTCCGAGACTCCTGGCCAAGTTTTGCAGATATCGCACCTGGCAGCTCTCCAAGCCAGATAAGGTCTGTGACTGCAAATCCTCCCTGGAAAGACTTTGCTGGATGCGAATGAGCAGAATTCACAGTCAATTAATGAAAGGTGTTTTTGTCGGGACCAGGAGTTTCCATCCTGCTCTTGGGACGCCTTGGGTCAGAACACATAGCTTTTCCTCCAACTGGGAAGGGGAGGGTTTTCCTGGTGCTCTAACCAATCAGACTCCCTGCCCTGATGGTCTATTATGTTCCTTTGTGCGTGATGATCAACTGGATGGCTTTTGCAGGAAACAATTCGTTTGATCGTTTGTTAGATTCGTTTCAGGAGTGTGAAGATCTGTCCATGAATCTCAAGAGACTCTGTGCCCAGTCTTTCCTTGCACAGCATTTCATTTGAGATATGTTTACATGGCAGCTTTCCAAGCTAGATAAGGTCTGTGGTCATAAATATTCCTTTGAAAAGACTGCCAGGCCTTGCTGAATGTGAATGAGAGGGATTCACATTCTTGAATAAAAGGGTTCTGACAGTTGCCAATTTTGGAGACCCCTGGGCTAGTGCCCCAGTTGCCCCCTTTTCTGGACCGGGAGGCATTTGCTGACAGTCACTCATGTCTTGCATTATGCAATGAAATCTACAAGGAGCTGTTGCGACCTAGGCTTCCCCAAAAAGCATGAAGCAGATTCTTGGTCCCGACAAAACCCTTTTATTCAAGAATGTGAATCCCTCTCATTCACATTCAGCAAAGGCCTGGCAAACAGTCTTTCAAAGGAGTAATTATGATTACAGACCTTATCTATCTTAGACAACTGCCACGTAAATATTTTCCAAATGAGATGCTGTGCAAGGAAAGACTGGGCACAGAGTCTCTGAGATTCACGGACAGATCTTCACACTCCTGAAACGAATCTAATGAACAAATTGTTTCCTCTTTCGCTCCACTTTTATTTCCTATGGAAGGGGTCATTCACCGTCCACCTGTGGCTTTACTCTCACGTTGACCCTGATTTCTGAGCTGTTCTTTTCCTCTGGCAGTTCTGCCCATGCACACAATGGGAACAGGCTCCAGCTGTTCCTCTGCCTCACTGCTGTCTAGCTTCAAAGGCAGCTGAGAACTGCCAGGGGGGGCTTGGCCCCGTCTCTGCCTCTGACGCAGAGCCTTCATCAGAGCCTTCCCCAGATTCCAGGCCACAACAGGAGCTGCCCTTGAAGACTACCTGAAAACTTCAACAGATCCACAATGCAGCAGCAAGCAACTGTAACTGAGCCCGTAGGTTTGCCCATGTAATATTTATTGAACAATTGGCTTTTCTTATACATCAGCTTTTTCTCGTATTCTCTGCCATCGTCTTCCATGTGAGGTTGGGACTTCTGAGCCATAGGAAGACGTGGCCACAAATAGAAGATGGAATCGTTTCTCCTTCTTTTGGAAATGGCTCCATCAGAAATGCAGCCCCCGCCCCACCTCCATAAGGTGGAAGAGGAAACAGCCAGAAGAAGACATGCCACCGCACCCCATAAGCCTTCCGCGCAGCCCTCAAGATCTGGCTCTCCCAGCAGGCCTGGGGATAGGTTCCTAATTCACCCGCCCGAGTGTTTGATTGTTGAACGAAAGTTGTGTTTTACTATTTTTTTCTTTGTTCACATTTTGTTTTGTTTTTGATGTTGCACTTCCCTCCCTTGTGATTGTAAGCCGCCCTGAGTCCCCTCAGGGAAAAGGGCGGCCTATAAATTTTAATAAATTCAAATTCAAAATTCAAAATTCAAATTCCATAAGCACACCCCATTCTGTAGATCCTTACCTTCATACTTGGTGGGGCTGTAAAGGGTGGAGATGGAGGTCTCTCTGGAGTCGTCGCATCTGTGCTGTTCAGGGCCTCCTGTTTCCTGTAAAATAAAAAAAAGACATCGATCTTAGTTTAACTTAATTTAGCTTAGATATTTATATACCAGAAGGGAAGGGGAAGGGAAGAGAAGAGGAAGAGAAGAGGAAGAGAAGGGAAGAGGAAGGGAAGAGAAAGAGAAGAGGAAAGAAGAGGAAGAGAAGGAAAGGGAAGAGAAGGGAAGAGAATAGGAAGGAAGAAAAGGGAAGAGAATAGGAAGAAAAGGGAAGAGAAGAGGAAGAGAAGAGGAAGAGAAGGGAAGAGAATGAGAAGGGAAGAGGAAGAGAAGGAAAGAGAAGAGGAAGGGAAGAGAAAGAGAAGAGGAAAAAAGAGAAGAGGAAGAGAAGAGGAAGGAAGAGAAGGGAAGAGAAGAGGAAGAGAAGCACAAACTTTGAAAATGTTACACCGATGAAACTTCTCTACTTTTGGGAAAAAAGCAGGAGTGGGTAGGGCTTTCTAGTTTTTGAGATTTCACAGGAATCGAGGCTCTGCCCCATTAGAAATTACCCATAATAGCAGAGGAGGCCTTTCACCAGAACTTCAATAGAGCTCATCATACCTACTCTGAAGGCTGCAGGTAAACTCCATTTGCAGGTAATTTCTAGACACCAGAGTAGCTGAGAGTGAGCTATATAGAGCTTGGTTTCTATGGTGACAGGATTGCAAAAGAGATCCTTCTCTCCCTCCTGTTCCTCCCCCCCCCCCCAGCACACACACAGACACACACACAGAGTCATGCACACACACACACGTGTACGCCTTGTTCCCGGTTCCTCCATCTGCTCTTATCTATTGATTCGGCAGTGTTTGCTCATATCTTTCTCTCTCTCCACCTAAAGGACACCATGCATGCTTGAACAGATCTGGTGATGGCTATGCCAGGAATTGCCAAAGAGTTGCACCCAGGTTTCTCGTGGCCTGACAGGCTGAAATCACGAAGGAAAGATAAGAGAAGTTGCAAAACGGGTGTGACGGGGGGGGGGGGCGGCTATTCTCTCCCATTCAGAGACAAGAACAGAAGGACAGAATAGGACAACAGAATTTATCCCTTCTTCCCGTCCATGTCTTACATGGATACTAACCTCACAATCGATACAAAAGCTACGAGTGGCGCAAAGAGCTACAGAAAGATTCATGCTCGGCATCACAAGGCAAGATAGAAAGACCTGCAGGTGGATTTAGAGAACAAACGAAAGTATACAATATCATCAAGAGATTGATCTGAAACCTGAAATATTTTTGCTGGGGATTTTACCAGAAACTTAGAGTAAAGAAAAAGTGTATTTGATTATCCATGTAATAACAGCAGCCAGGATTGCATTTGCACAACACTGGAAAAGTGAAGAGATTCCTATGGGTGAGAATGTGATTAGGAAAATATTAGAATGTGCAGAAATGAATAGGTCAACACTTGGAATTAAAGAGAAGGAGCAAAACAAATATTATAGCATATAATGATGGTTAGAGAACAAATATGAAACTTAGAAATGAAAGTACACTACTGAAATATAGAAAATATCTTAGTGGATTATTTATGATTAATAGAAGTAATTTAAGAAGAGAATTGTTATAGTATCAGACGTATATCAGTATTAAGTCATGAGCGGATCAATAATGAGTATTCTGCATGAATTCCCTTTCAAAGCCAACTCAGTGGTTGAATGGGATTACAAAACACTCAAATGATAAGAATATGAGAAATTTAAGAGTCCTAGTGGAGCAAGCCAATAATCCATTAAGCCTAGCCTTTCTTGGTTGCACAGTGGTCAACCATATGCATTCAAGGATCACCCAAAGATGACCAAAAAGATGAGAGCCCTTTTCCGTAATTGTCCACCTAACTATGATTCTACAGAAGGCCAACAGCCGTCAAGATTAGCCATCACTGAGATAGCCTCAGTCTACTCCTGAGTTTCTCCCATTGTCAAGGTTCCAAATAGCATCCAAAATNAAGGAGAAACTTCCTAACAGGGAGGAGAATTAACCAGCGGAACCTCTTGCCACCAGAAGTTCTGGATGCTCCATTAATGCAGGTTTTTTCAGAAGAGACTGGACAGCCACTTGTCTGAAATAGTATAAGGTTTCCTGCTTGAGGAAGGAAGCAAGAAAACTCCCAGGGTCCCTTCTTCCAACCCTGTTATTCCATTCAATTCTGGTTTGACAACTTTCTAGTCGTTTGCAGGCAAAATATTAACCTTGAGAGGCTCCAGATCCAAACTGATAAAAAAAAACTGCCCTAATTATTAGGAAAACAAGTTGCAATGCTTGGATAGGTTTTGGACATGTGCAAAGGCTTTGATTTAGCAAAAGCTCAGCTCTGGAACTAGTGTATTTTAATTGATCGTTAGAAGGAAGTGACTAAGGGGGAAAAGAGACAAAGATAAGAGATTTATTCTTCAGAAACAGAAGAGGGCTTTAGATATTCCTGATAGCAGCCACAAGATTTCCTGTGCTTTTTTTTCCTATTTCGTCAGGGCGGGTCTTTTAATGAGTCTCATTTTCAGCAAACAAAAATGAGGAAGTTTTGCTTTCTGTAGTAGATAATCTTCAAATAAACATATCTCTTCGGGGGGGGGGGAATGTTCCCTCTGTGTTGGTTGACATCTAGTGACAAAGCAGAATAGTTCAGCAAACTAAAATGGATTAAAACGATGATCTCTTGTTGATTCTTGAACTTCTGGATGGTCGTTACACAAATATCAGCTTGGCTTTCCCCATAATCAACTATCCTCAAATCTTGTGCAGGGCTGTCCAAACTTGGGAACTTTAAGACTTGTGGACTACAACTCCCAGCATGCATGCTGGCTGGGGAATTCTGGGAGTTGAAGTCCACAAGTCTTAAAGTTCCCAAGTTTGGACACCCTGATTTTGTGCAATCTTGCACAAAATGGGAAGGGTGAAGAGATCCCTACGGATGAGAACGTGATGAAGAAAATATTAGAATGTGCGGAAATGAATAGATTAACGCTTGCAATGAAAGGAAAGGAAGAATCTGATTATTATTATTATTATTATAATATATGGGAGTTATTTTATCCATGGTTAGAGAATAAATATGAAAGTAACATATTACGAAGTTAAATGAGTTAAGAAGAGAAATGTTATAACAGTAGATATATTAAAGTTTAAAGTATTAGTATTAAAACAAGAATAGATAAATATATAATGAATATGGTAGTAAGCTTTAACTATTATGACACAAATGTTTGTGCCCAGACAACACACTGTTTAATAAATGATGAAATGTTTGTATTAAAAGAAAAAGAAAAAAACTTTTTTCAGAAACAAAAACTATCCCAAATCCTTTGCTTGGCATCTTCCTTTGCAAAAAATAAATAAATCATAAAATGTTGTCGAAAGAGATACACTAGGAATACAGTTAACTTACAAGCAGTTCATTTAGTCACCAAAGTTGCAACCGGGCTGAAAAAAGGGACTTATGGCTGTTTTTCACACTTACGGCGGTTGCAGCATCCCTACGACGCAGCGGTTAAAGTTAGAATCCAGAGGTTTATGAGTTCTAGTCCCACGTCAGACATAAAGCTAGCTGGTTGGCTTTGAGCCAGTCACCCTCTTAACCCCTTGGAAGAAGAGAATGGCAAGCCACTCCTGAACACGTAGCCAAGAGAGCTGCAGGGGCTTGTTCAGGCAGTTGCTAGGAGTGACTTGGAAGGCACAAGATAAGCATGTTTGAACAACAATACATGGCAGGCTGAACATTCGTACTTTGCCTTGAACTGGGAAAGGGGCAGATAGAAAGATAGATAGATAGATGGATGGATGGATGGATGGATGGATGGATGGATGGATGGATGGATGGATGGATGGATGATGATGATAGGTGGGTGGATGGGTGGGTGGGTGGATGGAGAGGGAGAGGGAGAGGGAGCTTGATAGATAGATAGATAGATAGATAGATAGATAGATAGATAGATAGATAGATAGATAGATNCCGATCTTAAGGCTGTAAGGAGAAGCACATCAGATTCTCTCCTTTCCCGTTTTTTAAAGCGAAATAACTTTTCACTGCAACATCCAGTGCAGTAACACCGATATTAATATAGGAGTTGCACGAACCCCACAGATGAGCATATAATAAAAAACAAACAAACAATGCAATGTGCAGAAATACATGTGATCCCCTTTTGCAACCTTTTAACGAGCAAAGTCAATGGGGAAGCCAGGTTCACTTAACAACTTACAGGCAGGATTGTATATGCGCAATGTTGGAAAAATTAACAAACCCCCACAGATAAGCATATAATAAAAACAACAACAATGGAATGTGCAGAAATGGATAGGTTAACATTAAGAATAAAAGAAAAGGAAGATTCTGAATATTTTAAGACATGGGAACTTTTTTTTTTTACAAATGTATATGCGCAATGTTGGAAAAATTAACAAACCCCCACAGATGAGCATATAATAAAAACAACAACAATGGAATGTGCAGAAATGGATAGGTTAACATTAAGAATGAAAGAAAAGGAAGATTCTGAATATTTTAGGATATGGGAACTTTTTTTTTTACAAATTGATGATTACAAAAGGTTGTGTAATTATCCTACAATGGAGATTTCATGCCAGCAAAAAAAAAACAAAAAAAAAAAAAACCCAAAGGCCAATCTTTCCAAATTAAGCCATTTAAAAATTCACTATATAGTTCCCCTTCCTTCCTCTGTCATCCTTGTTCAAATCAAAACAAAGGAAATGTGTGGGAACAGTCCAGATGCAATAACAATGAAGACAAACTCCCTTTTGTCTAGGAGGTTTATAAATTGCTACCGTTCCTTTGACAGATACATTGCAAATAAAAAAAAAATCTATACCGGTAGTCCTCAACTTACAACGGTTCGTTTAGTGACCATTCAAAGTTACAACGGCACTGAAAAAAGTGACGTGTGACCACTTTTCACCATTGCAGCATCCCTAGAATCACATGATTTACATTCGGATGCTTGACAATTGGTTCATATTTATGACGGTTGCTGTGTCCCCGGGGTCATGTCATCCCCTTCTGCGACCTTTTGACGAGCAAAGTCAATGGGGAAGCCAGATTCACTTAACAACTTACAGGCAGGATTGTATATGCCCAATGTTGAAAAAATTAACAAACCCCCACAGATGAGCATATAATCAAAAAAATAATGGAATGTGCAGAAATGGATAGGTTATCGTTAAGAATGAAAGAAAAGGAAGATCCTGAATATTTTAAGACATGGGGATTTTTTTTTTACAAATGGTTAGTCAATAGATACAGAGATCAGGTGGATGGATTTATGTGAAAATATGGATTACATGAGAAATCAAAATTGATTAGTAAACATGCTTTTGATGCTTAGATGATTGATGTCAACCTGGGAGATAGTATATTTTATACCAATGATTGACAGTATCTACTATATGTTTGTGTGCTGATCTGGTCATAATGATTATGAGGCTGTTTAAATTATAATACGTTTGTTACCTAGAAAACACATTTGTTCAATTTAGAAATGCAATTTGTGATATAAAAGCAAAAAAAAATATTTTTTAAAAAGTGTTACTAATTTTACAATTGCAGTGACTCACTTAAGAAATGTAGTGGGAACAGTCGTAAGGTGGGGCAACATAAATACTGGGCTCAATTGTGGTGATAAATTGAGGACTACCCGGTTTCCCCGAAAATAAACCCTTCCCAGATAATAAGCCCAATTGGGCTCTTGAACACATGCGCTAAAATAAGCCCTTCCCTGAAAATAAGCCCTCCCCAAAAATATTGCAACACAGCAGCAGCCATGAGGATCCAGCCAAATAAGACCCTGTCTTATTTTCGGTGAAACACCGTAGCAGTATATGCTTAGTCTGTTATATTATAAAAGCTGGCCTAAATTTACATGTTTTTGTTTTTAATATATATTTATTTTCAGTTCTAGGTGCTACACCAAATGGATCTTTTCTCCTTTTAATTATATCTTCTGGAAATATACATATATATGAAGTTGCGGTGATTTGGGAGCCCAGGAAGGACTTTGATCCAAGTTAACTTACTAGGAGCCACAAGCTTGAGTTCCCTTGTAACAGTCCGAAGGTCATTCTTTGCCATACAACGAACAGCCATGATTTCTTCCACCTTCTGAAAAGTCACCTGACTGGCTACCATGTTCCTTTCATCGAGATGAGTCTCCACCGTGACATCAGAGATGTTGTTGGTCAGGAGAGTCCATGAGGTGTCATTGTTGCATCTAGAAAGAAGTCGCTTTTTCATTGATCCCGCCCCAAAAAAGAATCTTCTTTTACTGAAGACGATTGAGTGAACAGATATCTTTACATAACACGTTGCCCAAGCAAAGTCAACATTTTCTTTGAATAACTGCCACTTATACTACAGATTTATACCACAAGCAACGTTTCGGGAGCATTAAGAAGGGTACCATGTATGTGGACAAATCTCAGTTCTCAAATCTCAAAAGTATTTATTTGATAGATTTATGGCCTGCTTTTCACACAAAATTTAAACTTAGGAAATATTGTTAGACACAGTTTATAAGGTTGACTTATTATTAACCATTAATCTTGGCCTTTAAATTATATATAACTCCAACACTCAAGGGGTACCAGTTTCTATAAGGAACAGAATAGAATAACAGAGTTGGAAGGGACCTTGGAGATCTTCTAGTCCAACCCACTGCTTAGACAAGCAACCCTATACCATTTCAGACAAATCATTATTTAATATCTTCTTAAAAACTTCCAGTGTTGAAGGATTCACAACTTCTGGAAACAAGTTGCCCCACTGATTAATTGTTCTCACTGTCAGGAAATTTCTCCTTAGTTCTAAGTTGCTTCTCTCCTTGATTAGTTTCCACCCATTGCTTCTTTTTTTTTTAGACTTATATACCGCTTCATAGGGCTTTCAGCCCTCTCTAAGCGGTTTACAGAGTCAGCATATCGCCCCCACAGTCTGGGTCCTCATTTCACCCACCTCGGAAGGATGGAAGGCTGAGTCAACCTTGAGCCGGTGAGATTAGAACCGCTGAACTGCAGATAACAGTCAGCTGAAGTGGCTGCAGTACACACTTTAACCACTGCGCCACCTCGGCTCTTTTAACCACTGCGCCACCTCGGCCAGTTTTTCTTGTCCTGCCCTCAGGTGCTTTGGAGAATAGCTTCATTCCCTCTTCTTTGTGGCAACAGAACACTGCTATCATGTCTCCCCTAGTCCTTTTTTTCATCAAACTAGACTAAGAAGAAAATTATAACTGTGGAGTAGGCACCATGTATGAGAAATGATTAACCATTGCTGTTTCTTCAACTCTGATTAGGAAATCTTGTGGTTTGGCTTGTTTAAAGATGCATTATGTACACTCACACATTTAACAATACACCGATTGCACCCAAGAGTTAATAATTCAAGAGGTATTTTAATCAATAAAATGATATTCCCACTCTCAAATCTGAAATCTCTACACCAGCGATGCCTAAACGTATTTTCAAATGGTTTCAACTCCCATAACCGTTTAGCCATTCTCCATTCTTACTGCCCATTGCCATAATGTATTACTATTTTATTATTAGCTAATAAACGATGATCAATTCTGGAGTTGTGAGAGTTGAAATGCAATACATACTCGAAGGCACCCAGTTGAACAACATATAACATATTTTTGGAGTATAAGACGCACCTTTCCCCTCCCCTCAAAACAGAGGGTGAAATTCTGGGTGCGTCTTATACACTGAAAACAACATTTTTTGTCTCCCCAAACCCTGCCCCCTTTGCAAAAATGGATGCGCAGAGAGTTTGGGAGGCTACAAACTGCTCCTGGCGGCTGGGGAGGGCAAAAATGAGCGAAAATGGGCCCGTTTTTCACAAAAATCGGGGTGTTTTTGCCCTCCCAAGCTCCCGGGAGTACACTACAGGCCTCCCAAACTCTGCACAAACCATTTTTTGCAGAAAAACAGGCCCGTTTTCATGAACCACGGGCCATTTTTTGTTCATTTTTGCCCTCCCCAGCCCCTAGGAGCATTCTGCAGGCGTCTCAAATTCTCTGCATGCCCCTTTTTTTCACAAAAAAATGGGGCATGCAGAGGGTTCAGGAGACCTGCAGAGTGCTACTGGTTGCTGGGGAGAGCAAAACCCACTTTTTTTTTTAATTTACCTCTTCAAAATCTTGGTGCGTCTTATACTCCGGTGTGTCTTATAGTCCGAAAAATACGGTATATTATGAAAAGGATAGAGTAAACATATGATTATACCAGGCAGATAAAGCCACTCGAGGCGGCCCAAAAATCAAAGGCCTTACTTCTTAATGTCCTTGCAAACCAGCCATTCCACATCGGGGAGGGGTGTGCCTTCTGCCAAGCATTTGACACTCTGCCCAGAAGAGCCATGGTGATTATCTATCAGGTCTCGAATTAAAGCTGGAACTGGGAAGGGAAAAAAATTGGGAAGAGCATGTAAGAGATCTGTGCGCTGGAGGTGGTTTCTTCAGAGACAGTCTATTTCTGAATTCACATCTGCCAGGCAGGCACCGTTGTTAATTGAGGAAGCTTCAGAAATGGAAACAGGAGGGTTGTTTTGCTTGTATTCTCTGAGACAGGACAATCTCCTGCATTATAGACATGATCTATGCCCTTGATGGCAACCTATGGCACGCGAGCCGTTGCCCAGCTCAGCTCCACCCCCCATGGGCATGCACCTCCCACCAGCCAGCTGATTTTCAGGTCTCTGCCAGCGCACACAGGAGACACAGGAGCTTGTGTGGGAGCAGGGGGAGTGCAGGGGGTGTGGTGTGACACACATACACCCGAGCGGCCAGTTTTTGGTTCCAGGAGGCTTCAGGGAGGCCTGCTAGGCCCAAAACGGGTCACAAGAGGAGGAGTCACATGCATGCACGGGGGGAGCACGGGAAGTTGCGCGGAGGTGGGAGTCGCTCACGCATGTGCAGGGGGCAGGGGGCATTGCATTTTGGGTGTGGGCAAATGCACGATTTCGGCACACAAGGACAAAAAAGGTTAGCCGCCACTGATCTATGCCTATTTACCTTAAATACTTTTCTCTTAACTCAATGAGATGAACTTTAATCAAACAGCCGTAAGATTTGACTGTATCAGGCCGTACTGCGATTGCTTTGCCTAAAAGGGGGAGTGTTCTGACCCAGCTACTCAACCGCGACAAACCACCTGAAGGGAACTCAATGATTCCTTTATTAGGAGCTCCAGCAGCCCCGGGAAAAAGCTTCTCTCTCAGCGCAGGCTAACAAGTCTGTCCAACAGGGAGAGGAATAGTTGTCTGCCACATCTATTCATCTCCGCCCCCTGCCTTTTATCTCCAGAGCTAGGGTGGGGCTTCACTGGCAGCAGTGGCTTTTCCGTTCCAAGGACCAGCCCATAGATTTCCACTGCTCTCCTCTCCTCTGCCACATCTATTCATCTCCGCCCCCTGCCTTTTATCTCCAGAGCTAGGGTGGGGCTTCACTGGCAGCAGTCCTCTTCCATCCCGTGGACTGGCCCATAGATTTCCACTGTTCTCCTCTCCTCTGCCACATCTATTCATCTCCGCCCCCTGCCTTTTATTTCCAGAGTTAGGGTGGGGCTTTGCTAGCAGCGGTGGCTCTTCCGTCCCAAGGACCAGCCCATAGATTTCCACTGCTCTCCTCTCCTCTGCCACATCTATTCATATCCGCCCCCTGCCTTTTATTTCCAGAGTTAGGGTGGG